AACGATGGGTAAAGTAACTTGTTAGCCATTAAATGATGGAAGGTTCGATGGAAAACGCCTTCAATGTAGCCAGCAGCTTGTTGCGAGGGATTGTATTGAATGCTAGCAGCAGGTCGAGAAATGTTGATCAAATAACGCGGTCGCATTTTTCGAGGTCGTTCTTTATTTCGTTTGTTAAGGAGCAATGGCGTCTTCGGTCCCTAGTCCTTTCTGTAGGCGAGTTGTCATGGTTCAAGTACATCAGCGACCTTTTGTTCTGTAATTGCTTGATTGAAGTGTTCGACACGCTTGAGCGTTGCAGAGCTTAACGCCATTGGTCAGAATGCATCAAGGCCTTTGATCGATGTTCTTTTTGGCACTAGGGTAATCGACACCAGTCGCCATATATCCGGAATTGGGGCGTAGCGAAGGCAGTAGTTGAAACTATTGCAAATTATATTGTATAGTTTATCTGAACAAAGTTGTAGCACAGAGGGATTGACTCCGTCTAGACTTGAAGCCATGTTACAGTGAAGATGATCAAGGCACCTCTGTATGTCATCATTAGTGAATTGTAAATGCGTCCTTTCTCCGTCAGTCACTAAAGCAGAGAGAGTGACTGGGTTCGACATGTCATTATATAACAGCAAAATATGGCGGTTTTGATCATTTGGATCTGCGTCAGTACTTTTCGCGGCGAATCCTGTCTTACCGTGTTGTACTGCGATATAAAGTTTGCCACAGATTGTTTGGTCCCGAGTTAGTGACGCAGTGGTTCACTATATTTCGTTTTTAACGGGAGATCTCATTCTTGACTGCAGTGGAGGTGGCTCGACACAACTGATGGTCACCTGATCTGTATGCTCTTTGTTTCTGGTGGCGGAGGAGTTTCAGCACCCTGGAGGAAAAATTCATTATATCCTCAGCTTTTCAATAATCATATTATCACCAGGTTCATTTCTCATCTACTTAAATTCATTGGATGCTACCAATGGTTTATATAAAATTCACATTAGAAAAATAAATCAGTACTTGCTACTTTTCTTGACATCCTGATTTAGCGTAACGTTGACAAGCTTAATGTTGTATATAAACAATGGGCCCGTTTCATCGTTATTTAAATTTTTCTTCTTTTGATCTTTAGCAATATAAAATGCATGCTTTTCAGAGCCTTCAAACATTTCGTCTCCTTTTGAAGAAGCTACGCACCTTTGTGATACTCTCCTGCAAAATAGCTGCGCGAAGTATTTTGATTATTCTTTACTTTATTCGTAGACCTTCCCGTAAAGTTAATTTGAATAATTCTATCGGTATTCCATGTATCACGGTATATCCGAGAATATGCGCATGTTGTTGGGAAAGCATGATCTTAAGGAATTCTTTTCTCGAGGTCTGACTTTGGGTTTTGCGATTTATAAGAAACTTGGTCACCATCTACCATTACTAACCAGAAGAAATCTAACCTATTCAATTCGGTGTAGCAAGAGTGAACGGATTTATATCGTAAGACTTAGTACTTTCAGCGTTCGAATTTGAATGGTGAACACTGATAAGCTACCGCTAACAGTCATCTAGAACTCTCCTGTTTCGTTATCAATGCCTTAGGACATGGTCACTATCTTGTAGAAGAAAACTTTTCAGTGGTTGACCACGAAAACGATAGAGCTAAGTTGATGATAAAAGATCCCAACACATCTCAGTTAATGGAACAAGCTTACGCATAGTTGTATAGCTTCATATAACGCCGCTGAAGGTTATGGGCTACTGTGTTTGCTTAGTGAAGTTACGTGAGTCATAGTGTGTACCATAGCGTCCGTTGCTAGTGTTTTGTCCTGAAGAAGGCCGTTGTTTTGTGCCGGAAACGTTGACAACTGTGTGATAAAGGTTTCTTAACATCAGCCTTTGTCTTGCACCCAAAACCACTGATTCTGAAACAGAGGGAATACGCATTCTATTTTAATTTATAGATAATGTAAATTAAAGAGAGACTGACACGTGCGCGATCACTGTTCAGTGCGGGGCAAAATCCACAACGATCCTGCATCTCGTGGTGTTTAACAGTTTGCACGAAGGGCCTGTATATTAGTCTCCCATTTGGATGGCGAGCCTTATTGGAACTGGATTCGTGGCACTGGTTCTGAGTTTTGTCGGGTTTTGCCCAGTGTCGCTTTATTTAATTTTAATAGCTCATCCGTATCACCTGCACCCAAATACAAAAAAGCCGGCACCCGAACCAATCTTCAGTAGGTAGCCAAGTGGATCGTAGGGACAATTTGCACTCGCCTGCTCTTAGTACTTCAGTGGGTCATCGAATGGAGATACGGAAGAAATATGCGGTCGGCGACCATGCGAAAAAGCCAACGGAAAAGATCTTCCTTACAAGATGCAGAGTTGGGGATTTTGATCCTACAGCAGTCCGTCTCGGGAGCCCAGGAACGGCAGAATTATTATCTGTGCTATATCCTTAAATAAAATAATTTTGCCTTTATACAACCCGACAAAACTGCATCTACCTCAGATTCCAAGCCACGAATCCGGTTCCAGTAAGGCTTCACTCAGTTACGGGGGGGGGAAGAGAACTTGTACTCCAGGCTGGGCTCTTCCGGCAGATGGTTTAGCATGACGTGATGCAGGATCATTGCGGATCTTGCTCCAGATTGGACTGTGGTCGCGCTCTCTTCAATCCGTCTTTAATTTATTTCAACTTTGAATCAAAATAGGATACATATTTAGAAAACAAAACATGGTACCCTAATGTTCTGTGGCAGCTACCAAAAATTTCAGCTTTCTGATTCCGCCGGTGATATGATCCTTTAACTACTGATAGTGGGTTTATGCTGCGAAAACTGTTTAGTCGCTTGGAGTGTTACTGTGGCAGTGCGAGACGGATGATAGTCATTACAATACGTAAAAATATACATCTGCCATTGTTGATAGCTACCCCAGAACATCGGAGGAATTCTTTTGTTTCATTTTCTACATATTCTGCCAAGTGACGGTATGTTGGTGCTTAATCAGACTATTTTTCAGCCCAACTCCCGTGACGTATTCTTGCGTCATATGCATTGCAGGCGCTTAAACATCATAAAACCGTAGCTTGCTTAATGATCCCCCTAGATGACTAAAAGCATGGAGCCGGTGCATTACCGCGGTACAACCTAGTGTGTTGACTACTAGGTATCTTACATTCCGGCAGTATCGCTGTAAAGTCACTTTGCAGTTTTCGCCGTGTAAATCCAGGATCATTAGTAAAAAGAAAATGCATATTTATTTCAACTAATTATGCATGGAATTTAAGTTCAAACCAATCTTTGTTCTCTTTGAAACATCTTCGGAAGACACACCACCTACTTTAATGTGTGCTGTTAACACTTTCGAAACAATGAATTAATTGTCGGGTGCAGTGTTAGTTAGTTGTTTGACTTTGAACTGCAGCTAAACTAGAAACCTTCATGGTCATTTGGCAGTGTGAAGCAGGTAGCTATGCAGCTTGTATAACCACTGACTATTCTATGTGTTTAACACGCATACGACAGGGCGAATTCTTAAACGCTCTGGAAAAGTTTGACTTAAACTTATAATGGTAGATACATCCGCATTCAGACGGATGAAGAAATAATGGGCAGTGTGTTACTCAGAAGTTTTGATGGAATCTAGGTACTGATTTTAAATGAAAGTTTTCAGATATTTATTTCATTTAAATTTCTATTTTTCTTTTGTTATCTGGATAGTTAAGTGCAGAATTAAAAATGCAATTTTGCCTCTCAAGTTCACTGCTCAAGGTACCTTGAGATGCAAGATCGTTATGGATTTTGTTCTAGATGCAGCAGTGATCACGCACTTTCAGACTCCTCTCAATCTCCTGAAAGATTTTTCCTGAAGGCGCACTTATTATTCTTACAAAGTACACGGGTATTTCTAAGAATTAACTGATCAGATCAAGAACAAATTTGGGCAGCGTTTTACACGTTATTTTTAGCCTCGATTGTCCTAGTTACGAACGATGCCTTTGTCTCACTTTCTTGATAGTATTACTTAGACACCTTCAGACAGATGTTCCGTCTGCCCTGTCGTATGCTTTCATTCTCTGTTCGGAGATAATCTGATTGATGAAAAGGTTTCATTTTTCTTTCAGTAAGGACTTCTACGGACCTTTGCCCCCCCCCTCAATCCCTCCGATGCGAATTGTAGTTAGTAGAGTTCTTTTACACGGACGTGCCTTAGAAGCATAAGGAGATCATTTAATCCCGGTTATCACGGCCTCGTTCATAGCGGTTTCGCATTTCGTATCATTTTTGACAAAGGTTATTAAATTCTCTATTGTTTTTAGTATCAGATTTGCGACGATGATGTCTGATTACCGAGAATGCCTACTGGATGCGATAGAAAGCCTTGTTGAAACGGAGCATGCCCTACGAAAATGTGTGGTCTCTGGCACAGCATGTTGCACTCCGGACGACAGTGCCTTTCGCTCTGCTTTTCCGACCGAATGCTACGTTCCTTTGACAGAAAAACGATCTTTCGTTGCGACCGTGCTGTGTGCTTTACGAACGGAACGAAGTCGCCATCCGATGTGGCTGAAGCTGGTCATACATTGCGTACCGTACCTTTGCGGCAGCTTCCCCCTGCTAGCATTGGTTGCTGTCGAACAGTCATTTCTTAACATTGAATCCGCGTCCAAGATATACACCCACTGTTGCAAGACGAACTATACCACTGACTTAGATGTAGAGCGATGGCATACGATGCCGTGGAATTATGTCAGTACAATGTTGGAACTTGTTTCGAAGCTGTTTCATCAGTGTATTACAAGTAATGGTTTGTTTCCAATGCAAACATCTAGCGGCAACCACAGTTTTATCAGCGAAG